GTTTTTGTTTTAGCGGGGGGGGATGCTACATTATGTGTTTATAAATTATCTGCAAATGAACAAAGTTTCCATAAACAGAATTTCATTTTACCAGTCATACCAAGGAAGACTTATTACATCACATGAACAATCTTAAAATTACTCAAATGGACTGGGTCCTGAGGAACAGCAGTCCCAGCAAAGTCGTTCAGATTTCCCTTTCTCAACACTCCTCCTCCAGCTCCTCTGAGAGAAGACTGAGGCATTCCAGGGCACACCGCTGTGTCCTGGGACGTGCCGTGGGCGTTGGTTTAAAGGCTAAATCTGGTTGATCCTTCATAGTCTTGATTTAGTGCAGAAATAGTTGTTGAAATGTCAATGATCAGACAAACTGACCTAGGATTCAGGTAGACAGAAGAGGTTCGTTTAAACGGAAAACGTTTTATTGCAAGCTTTGGATTATGCAAGGGAACAGCTTTCTGGATTCTCTGTAAACACTTAGGTTAGTGATCACTAGGCTCAAACGGGGAATGAGCATGTGAATCACTAACCTGGTTATAAGTTCGGTCCGTGTCCAAAGGAAGGAGTGGGAACCAGTCAGATGACTTCTGAGCGAAAGCCAGCAGATGCTGAGAGCAGCAACACTATAGGCTGTGCTAGATACTTCTCACACTAGGCTCAGATAATCTGGCCCTGATGGCTGGAAACAGACAGCATAAATAGGAGCTGGTGGTTCAGATGAGCTGTAATGAGCAACCAGGAAGAGTAGACCGGTGAATGCAATGAGCAATTAAGCCAGCCACCAGCACCAAGATCATGACAGAAAATTGGGCGGTGGTTGGTCATTCTGATTTTGTCCCACTTTAGTCCAATAATAGACAATTTTCAGACTGTTAAAAAGATGTTGAAAATGCAGTTTATAAAGTCTTTTCAACAGTCTGAAAATTACAGCTTTTCACCTTTCAACCAAATGTAGGCTAGTCGACATTTGGGCGTAAATTATTACATAATGTCAATGTTTTTTCAGTGGGAGGGACAAACATTGATACAAAGAAACTATACACAAAGTAAGTCAAGAGTGATATGAAAGGAACCAAGGGTTGCACAGTTATAAGGTTTATGGGACAAATACCTTTCACACTGAGCCACGTTTATTTTGATAGCTTTTTCTCTTAGTAAAAGAAATGATCATTTGCATTTTTTATTTACTCAGGTTATGTTACATTCCATTTATTTTTCCGAAACATTTAAATTAATGCTGCATAACGTTAGACTCAAGTATTAGCATAATTCTAGATATATTACATGATTTACAGGTCAATATGAAACATTTGGGGCTTATTGTTGCTCCATACAGGCTGCCCTTCTCAAAGATTCTCCAATCTAACTTGGAAGGGTCAAATCTGTCACTGAATGAGTCATGTGACCCAGAGCGTCACTTCCAATTTGTTATGAGTCCAGTGCTGCCACTGGTCTTCAGGGTAGCTTAACTTAGATGTTATAAGTCTCCCTCCCCTAGTGGCTAAAAGTTACACAACAGTTTGCTTTAAATGTATAAGGGTGGGTGATTTTTCCAAAATAATTATCGTTAGGTTTCGGTTTCTGTGATGTTTTTCTTTTGTTTCCAGTTTTGCTTTTCTCCTTGTTTGCTAGTTTTTATGGTTTAGTTCTTAGTTTATTGTGTTCTTTGTGTTTTTCTCACTTACTGTCCTAGTCTTGATTCTGTTATATTTTGTTCAGTTTTGCTTTGCTCCTTGTTTTCTAGTTGTAGTGGTTTTATTTTTATTTTGCTGTGTTCTCTGGTTAATTCTTAGTTACTGTTTCAGTCTTGATTCTGTTATATTTTCTTTTGAGTGTTTAGTTTGACTTTTCTCCATGTTTTATAGTCTTAGTGGTTTAGTTATTATTTTGTTGTGTTTTCTAGTTATTTTCAGTCTTCGAGGTTTTTTTATTTGTTGCCCTCTGCTGCCCTCTTGTGTTCTCCTTTTTCCCTAGCTCCTGTTTTGTTTCTGCTCTGTGCTCACCTGTTCCCAATCTGCTCATTAGCCCTCTCTTTGTCTTTGTCTCCTTTAAAAGCTTTCTCTGTTCAGTTCCTCTTTGCTGGATCCTCGTCTTACTTTGTCAATCTTCCTCCAACTCGTGTCTCTGAGTCTTCCTCCTGGTTTCTGTAATTCCCCTGATGACTCCATGGTTTCTGGTTCGTTTTTTTTTTTACCTTTTTTCATGCTTTGAATTTTTTAATTTTGAACTCCTGGTTTCTTTGTTTTTTTTTTTTGGGCTTTGTTTTTTTTTTTTGGTTTTTGGATTCTTGGTGCCTGTTTGTTTGGACTTTTTTTCCAGTAACACTTCATTAAATCAACTATAATTCACCTCTGCCTGCCTGCCTCTGCTTTTGGGTCCTCAATCCATAACCAAATCCTGATAACTATTAAGAATTCCTAAACAGGGAGTTGTTTATATTTTGTGAGTCAATGCACTATTTTATTCCAGAATTGTGTATCTTACAGGTCAAGGCTGTTCACTACAACAATACGCCCATTCCTCACATGCCGCTATATTTGTTTGGGGGGAAAATATGGTCTATAAGATTACTACAGAACCTCACGACTGACAGCAACGGTTTCACCACATTCTCTGTCAGCACAGACACATTTGTTGGAGACACTCACCTGATTGTAAGCTAAGTACATCTGTAACAATCCTGTTTTAATTGTCAAAAACTGTGAGTAAAATAACATTTGTTTGCCTTTTAAGCATCATTATCTCTTTTTATTAATAGATAAGTAGCACACCAGAAATGCCGGACCCACAGTATAGAACAGCTCACATTGCCTGGCAACACCAAACCGTTCGTCAGTCCCGACCTCCTTCTGTTGACATTAAAACAAGCAGTGTCTTGAAGATAAAGAAGATTCACCCCGCCCTTCCATGTGATAAAGAAGTGGACATCTCCATTGATTACACCGTTGTGCATGAACCACAGGGATCTGTAGATATCGTTCATCTGGTGAGTCATTCAGCCGGTTACCAACATTATTTTACAGTTTTAAAATGTACTCTAGTGGACAGCTGTACATTAAAACTTGGCAACATTTAGCAGAAGACAGTCTGTTCTAGCTCTGTATTTAGACTTTAGCAGAGGTAAAACAAAAGCACATAATTATTGGCATTAAACCGTAACAGCTTAAGTTTTATTCAGTATAAGAATGTGTTATATTCTAACCACTTGGTGAGCATGAAGGGGATGGTAAAGACAAGTGTTGTCACGATACTAAACTTTTCAACTCGATACCGATACTAAGTAAAATATTCGATACTCGATACCCTTTTCGATATCACAAGAATAAAAACAAAGACTCTAAAATTCAACAGAAATATTTTCGTTACTAAAAAAATACAAGAAATAAATAAAAAACAATAACAATAATATTTTGAGGTTGTATGCTGTGCACAATATTAAGCAAGCTTGATAAAAAAAAATAATAATTCTCAGCAGCTGCACCTGTTACAAAAAAGTCTGAAACTGAAAAATGCACAGAATTATTCAATCACACAGTGTTCAGAAAGTGCATTGTCCTCTATTCTGCACCTTAGATGGCTGTATCGATACTTTTGAAAATGAGTAATGAATCCAGATACAATGTTTCAGTATCAATACTTTTTTGAGTATCGATACTTTTGACAACCCTAGTAAAGACTAACAAGATAGATAATTACATTTAAAAATGTGCTGGACGGTTTGCCAGAATTGCTTGGAGTCAAGCCAATAGTTTTTCCCAAAAGGCTTTCTCCATGGCCACTCCAAACTCCTCCCAGGCCCCAGTTTTTGGCTTTGCATCCACCAGGGCAGCGGCATGCTTGGCCTCACAATATCTGATTTCTGCCTATGGAGTCCCACAAGCCAGCCAGGCTCTATGGGACTCCTTCTTCAGCATGACAGCAATGCTTACTCCTGGTGTCCACAACTGGGTTTGAGGACTGCCTCCATGACAGGCACCACAGACCATTTGGCCACAGCTGCGTCGACAATGGAGGCAAAGAACATGGCTCACTCAGACTCAATTTCTCCAGCCTTCCAAAGAGCGAGAGAGCTTCTCCCAGAGAATGGAGTTCAACACGTCCCTAACAAAGGGCTCCACCCAATATTCCCAG